TGCAAATCACCTTGGTTTGGTCCAGTCATGTGTGGTAGGTACTTAAGCTGTTCCATCATAAGTGATAAAAAGTGTAGTTTATTCTACAAAAACATACAGACTTAAAGATAAACCTATGACTTTATTTTTAAGAGAGAGTCTCCACCGTCAAGTGTAAAGGACCAAATTATGCACTGGGAATTGTGACTCTTTTTCCATACCTCCGTGATCCATTCTCCAAACTTGGATATGTAAGTTATATCTGAAAACCAAATCAGTGTGATTTCAATATCTTCTTCACTTTTCTAGTTTGTACTCATCTTGTTTCAGATGAGTTTTTGTAGGTTGCTCACCCTTGCATTTTCAACCTGTTTTTTAAAATGTTTTGCAGTCTATTCACTGTCTACAATTTTTGTGTTGAGTAACTTATTCTTAAATTGAAGCATGAGATGCCTCTGTTTGGGTCTTTCTTTAAAAAGGAACACTACTATGATCCTGAGGGTAATACCGGCTTCATTTCATGGAGGATCAAGACGGTTCAACGCAACACCTTTGCTGGCTTGCGGGGTCGTTCCAAGACCGTTCTTCAGGATGGTCCAAAAACCAGGCGAGAATCTCTGTCAACCTGCCAACAGCTATTTGGTGAGGAGTGCAGGGAGGCGATATCTACAATAAGACATTCCAGCGATGAATCTGTGGTCAAAGAGAAGATGAGAGCGACTTTCCAGTATCGACAGAAGATGGTTGGGGATGATGCATCATCTTCAGTCCTGGATGTGTTCCCTCGTTTTCTTGATGTACCTGGATTGGTAAGAAAACTCTTTTGCTTTGGTTGTAGTTGTCCAGTGTAGAACAGTAATATAGTCCAGTGCAGGACAATATAATATCTGTCTGCACTATACTATAATCTCTTTAATCTTCTTTTTCAATCTTCCATTTCAGTATTTGACCTTTCATTCATTTTGTCATGTATGCTTGAACCTGTATATTAAAATATTGTTTTCCTTGTTTGTAGATCGACCAGGATTTCTCAATGATGTTTGGTGACGAAGTGTCTCAGAAGTTCCTGTCCAAGTGGTCAACTTTCTTCAAGCCAAACATCATCACAGACTGCAAGACTGCAACGAATATGGATGAGTTGCTGTCAGCAACTGAATTTGAGTCTGAAGAGAACAATGGTCAGTATAAAAAGTTTTGTTTAAATATATATTTCAGTGTTATACTAAATAAATACATTTTTTATGCCTTTAGGATGGGACAGTGATATGTCTTCAATCCTTTTGCTGCTGCAGCTACTCCCTCCAACTTCAAGGGGCCAGAAAAAAACTGCCAAGATCAGTTCAGCTCAAGCAACCAGCCATCTTGTTAGATATCTTAAGGTATGCAAAAGTTCCTACACCAAGAATCCCTGAATAGATGTTGGGATTCTGAGACAGTTTTGCTCTGTATATCTGCAGAAATGTGATCAAGATGTTATAGTAATTTATGTCTCCTAACTGACCTACAGGAAGGAGCCAGTATTACTACCTTCCTTGAGAGTGTCGACGCAAGACAACCGTTCCTCCTTTGCATCGGTGAGCAAAAGAAGAATATCCAAAGGTTCTACCTTATTATCGACCGAAAACCAATCCCGTGCAAGGCACACACATCAGTAGCAGCTTTTGATGAACTGTTCAAAGCTCACTACGTCTTCAGTCTCTCATATGACGAAGCTCTTTGTAATTTTTACACATTCATCCAAACCACTATATACAACATCGATGTCGGAAGAGCAAAGGAGAGCCCGCGTGTTAAAGAACTCCGAGCACGACTGCTGCAGCGAAGTGCTGTAACCGATAAACAGCCTTGAAGATGTTCACGTGTTTTGTCTGTAAAACACACCACAAAACGTGTGTGGTTCTTTGCCAACATTTAAAATTCCAACATGGTTTATATCCTGGCAAAAAGTTGCGTTTAAAATGTGGAGAGCTCCATTGCCCATTATCATTTTGTACTTATAGTGGCTTCCGAAAGCACCTCACCAAGGTGCATAGTCAGGTTGATCAAGAGATTGATATTGTTCATGATGTTTCTACTCAGCGAGAATGTGAGGCGGAATGTTCAAGTGATTCCCCAAATGTTGTTGCCACTTTGCAAAAGTCAGAAAGCTCTGTTGATACAAGTCAACTATCGTCAATGTGTGGATCAATTGTTGCGCATTTGCAAGCATCAGGTCTCTCTGAAAGTGCTGTCCAAACGATTGTTTGTTCAATGGAAGAAGTTGTCAATGATGTTAAAAGTGAGGCAAAAAATGCTGTTCTTAAAACAATGTCTTCTGAAAATACAAGTTCAGACACTCCAGGATCCAGAATAGATAATTGTTTTGATCAATTAGGTAATCCTTTTACAGCATTAAACACAGAGTCAAAAAGGCGTAAATATTATAATGAAAAATGGGAAATAGTTGAACCTAAAGAATGTGTCCTTGGTGTGAGGCTGGATTTGCGCAGAGATAGAATAACAGGGGTATACAATGAGATTCCTGTAACGGACAAGTGTACGTATGTACCCATTCTGAGTACACTTAAATCCATATTCAAAAATGACCAAGTAAGAGAAAGCTTTCTACGGGACAAACAGAGTGAAAATGGCATTTACAAAGACATCAATGATGGGTCATATTGCCAAAACCATGCCCTGTTCTCACAGCAAAAACATGCACTACAGATTCTACTATATTACGATGACTTTGAAACGGCTAACCCTCTCGGTTCCAAAAAGGGGATCCACAAACTAGGTTGTGTCTACTTTACTTTAAAAAATCTTCCACCCAAGTGTAACTCAGTACTGATGAATGTACATCTGGCAGCTCTGTTTCATTCTGAAGATCTGAAAAAATATGGTTTTGATGTGATACTAAAGCCTCTTATTGATGATCTGAAATTTTTAGAAACCAAAGGCTTAAAGCTTCCTTCTTTTGAACAACCATTGTTTGGCTCAGTTATTCAAGTAACGGGAGATAATTTGGCTTTAAATGGCTTGTTGGGGTTTGTGGAATCATTCAGTGCAACCCATTTCTGTAGATTTTGTTTAATCAGTAAGCAAGAAATTCAATCTATATTTACTGAAGATCATCCTGGGTTAATTATCCGTTCCAAAGAGCTTTATACTGAACATTGTAAGGCACTAAATGAAAATCCTGAACTGCGGTCAATATATGGTGTTAAAAAGTCATGTGTGCTCAACTCCTTACAGTATTTCCATTGCACTGACAACTATGCTGTTGACATAATGCACGATCTGCTGGAGGGTGTAGTACAGTACGAACTAAAGCTGAATTTTGAGTACCTTGTTAAACAGGGCTATATCTCTTTGAACACATTGTCAAACAGGATACAGAGCTTTAATTATGGTTACACGGAGCGTAGAAACAAACCAAGTGGGATAAAAATGGATGATAAGAGCAAAGATCTAGGTTTGAATGCCATCCAGTCATGGTGTCTCCTGCGTAACGCTCCACTAATGTTTGGTGATGTCATTGAAAAGAATAACAGTTACTGGAACTTTCTGCTGCTTTTGATCCAGATTGTCAATATAGTGTTTTCCTACACCATAACTGATGGAATGATATGCTACTTGAAACATCTGATCTGTGATCACCATACTCTGTTCAAAGCATTGTTTCCTGACAAGAGGTTGATTCCCAAGCACCACTTGATGGTACACTATCCTAGATGCATACAAAAAATTGGCCCTCTTATCCATATGTGGTGCATGCGATTTGAAGCTAAACACAATTTTTTCAAAAGATGTGGCAAAAATTTTAAGAATCTCACTAAATCATTAGTGAAACAACATCAGCGTCAATTGGCATTTAACTATGAAA